TTTGAAAGTGATGAAATGTAACCCTGAGACAGCTCAAACAGAACTCAGGCCTGATGTTCTCTGCAAAATGGCCTTATTTGGTGGTAATAGCACTAGTGTTGTATGCGTGGTGATCAAATCCTGTGTTTTCAGTTGTCCTTTTTATGGTCAGTTAAGACAGTCTTAGGATATAGATTTAACATCCAAGTATCCAATGTGACAGACTGAAGTGTGCTCTCCACTCATGGGGAGAATGTCTTTCTGTGACAGTGGGCCCCGGGTCAGTGTTACAGGCTTCTACAGTGGAAGTTGACTGTAAGGGCCGAAGAAGCACCATTTGGAGATGGTCTTGTAAACTGCAACGAAGGCGTCTTTCTTTAGCAGCTCCCTTCCCAAACACGGCAGCATGCTTTACAAACTTATCAAAGTGATATACAGAGATCGTTCTGTTTTTTAAAAATATATTTTTATTGATTTCAGAGAGGAAGGGAGAGGGAGAGAAAGAAACATCAATGATGAGAGAATCACTGATCCACTGACTCCCACATGTCCCCTACTAGGGATTGAGCCTGAAACCTGGGCATGTGTCCTAACCTGAAATCAAACTGTGACCCCCTGGTTCATAGGTTGATGCTCAACCACTGAGCCACGCCAACCAGCTGCTCTTTGTTTTTTAGCATAGCCCATGGTCGGCAAACCGTGGCTTGCGAGCCACATGCGGCTCTTTGGCCCCTTGAGTGTGGCTCTTCCACAAAATACCGACTTCTGTGCATGGGCCACGAAGTTTCAATTGCACTGTACGTGGGGCCTGCACATGGTATATTGTGGAAGAGTGACACTCAAGGGGCCAAAGAGCCACATGTGGCTCACGAGCCGCGGTTTGCTGACCACGGGCCTAAAGTAATCAATATTTAATATATTAGGCATTTCTGTGTAGATAATGATGTTTAAATGCCCCTAGACCAGCCGTGGGCAAACTACGGCCCGCGGGCCGGATCTGGCCCGTTTGAAATGAATAAAACTAAAAAAAAAAAAGACCGTACCCTTTTATGTAATGATGTTTACTTTGAATTTATATTAGTTCACACAAACACTCCATCCATGCTTTTGTTCCGGCCCTCCGGTCCAGTTTAAGAACCCATTGTGGCCCTCGAGTCAAAAAGTTTGCCCACCCCTGCCCTAGACAGTGCATTCCTTTGTCTTATTGGTTTTACATAGAGTCCAAAGTTCAGTTCCATGAAGTAAGTATTTACTCACCACATTCTATATACATTTCTATGTTCAATCCACGGCCCTTGAGGGGCTCAGTATAGTAGGTAAGGGACTCATGTAGAAATGATTCAAATAAAAGGAAGACGCTGATAAATGCGACGATAGGTACATGGCTACAGTGCAGGGAGGCCCAGAGGACTCCAGAGACCCAGGGATCCACTCATCACTGAGCTGGTGTCCACGGCTGTCTCATCAGTGTGGAGCTTGGTGAATATTCTAGGACATAAAGGACATAAATCCTCTTCCTGGTACAGCTATCCAATGCCATGGGGCCTGGGGGGCTCAGTGTGTCATTATAAGTATTCCATTGTCTTCTAGGGAGCCACAGAGGTACCACAAAGAGGGCTATAGACACTGTATCTGTCTGTCTGTCATTTTTCTTTAATGCAGGTTTTATAAGACTTTCTCCCAACAAAATCGCAATCACAACACATATCCCTTTGCCGTACACTTAGCTAGAATATTGTGTTGAATTAAACGTATGATTACACCATATTTTTTGAAAGGAGTTTGGGCAATGATAAATGGCATTTTTTTTTAGCACTCAGACAACCTGATTCTGTGCCCATCAAGTTGTGAGGGATTTGCTCCGAGGAAACAGTCTTTTGTAAGCAGGGAATCCTGGATACTGGCTGTGGGTACATAACCCTGGGTTCAGAGCCACTTCTACCAATTTTGTACCATGAGAGCTTGGGAAGCTTTCTTAATCCTACTAGCCTACTTAGTTTCCTCATCTGGAAAGGAATGATTTTAAATTACTTCCCTAATAGTCCTGCTGTGTTGAACGAGACAACACTTGGAAAGTGATTAGCAGCGTCCCTGGCAGATGGTAAGCTCATAAAGTGTTGACTAGTGCTCAGGCAGTTAATCTGTCTTAACTGCAGTGATGGCTCTAACTTAAGTTTAAGTCACAGCATTCTCTGAGGATCCCATCTCCCAGGACGCTTTCCTCCACAATCCACGGTTCACGTTAGTAGCTCCTCTTTCTCCAGGCCCATCTTCCTTAACAGCCTGAGCTCTTCCCAGAAATTTCCCCAGTACCCTAATTTCTTTTCCATGGTTTTTACTTCGCCACACACTGTACTACCTGAAACTGTTCCTTCTACCACCTGAAACTGTTATTGGAGGTTGTGAAAAGGACTCCCATTAGGGGTAAAGTAGTGACTACTGTGTGTGTTCTCTTGTGCCTGGGGAATCCATGTCCTTGACTGTGAATTTCAGGTTACTGCTTGGGTACCCGTGGTGCTTTCTTCCTTCTCTCTGCTCTTCCCATTTTTCTACCTCTTTATCGTCCCCCTCTTTCCCGCTCTCAGACTCTAGCTTAGGATCTGTCTTAACTTGTATTGTTTTTTTCTAATACATGGAAAACAATTCAGGATTATTTCTCAGAGTTAAGAAATTTGGTTGAATAATCACAAAGTCATAAAGCTACATTATCAATTGACAGTGAGCAGGCTAGTCAAACTGACAGGACCACACATATCCTGAAGGTGAGAATTCATCTTTATTGTATTTCCTCAAGAAATGCATTGCCCTGTGCTCTTTAATGATCTATATTAACACACACACATGTCATCCAGGCAAGGCAAAAAATTACACCTGAATTCTCACAATTCACTAATAAAGACCAAAAAAAATAAAGAATATGGAAGAACTACCCACCTAGCTATAAGATAATTGATATTGTATAAATATAATAGATTAAACTACAAAAACCTCGCTTGAAAATGTAGACAAATTTATATTGACATATGTATACCAGCTATAATACTCATTAAAAACATTGTAGGAACAGTGTGTCTTCAAAACTGTGACTATTTCAAAGCTACCTCACTAAATATATAAATATTAAATATGAGACTAAATATAATAATCCTATGGGCAACATTTTCTAAACAAACCATAGAATGCATGGCATACATTCAGCTATCACAAACTTAGGGCTCTAATTTTATACTTTAAAGTATTTCCCTCCAAGTCTGAACTCCTAAACGCCACCTTCAGATGGCTCTGGAAGGCTACAACCAGGTGTAGAAAATGTGGGACCTCCAGCTTCTGCCTCAGGGGAGATTTGAATTAAACAATGTGAAATTTGGGATGGAGCCTTAGGAAGGGATGGAATCTGAAAAACCCTAGTTCCGTGCTGTCCTCCTACAGACTCCTAGAAGTGCTCCTGGGAACAGACAGACATAGCTTTGGAGCCTGTTGGAGGTCGTTCTGGGCTCTTCTGGATGATGTTTCCCTTCCTCCTGTCTGTCCTGAGCATCTGGATTGACTTCCCGCTTTAAAGTGGAGTCTGCCCTGGGCTCAGCGATCTAGAGGTAAGAGGAAGAGACAGGATGTCACATTCCAAACAGGCAGCTCTCCACATGTAAAGATTATTAAAATCTCAGGCAATTCTAACAGAGTTTGGCTAACCTGTAGGCCCCATTTTATCTCCAGCCCTCCCTTCTCAACCCCACTCCTGAACTATTGTTTCCAAGTGTGATGCTTGGACTTTGATGACCCTGAGTCCCAACATTCCTTAATGTACCCAGTGACCTGTTTATAGCCAGGACTCTAGGTGACTGTGTGTTCGGGGGCAGCACACCTAGGGAGAGAGCTGCTCTAGCTCACTCACACCTTGGTCCTTTTGTGCTCCTTCACATCTAAACTTCCAGCCACACTTCAAACATCACTGACATGTCCACATCACAGACCACGGACCAGGGGGCCCCATCCCTGCTCCTAACCCTGGATCCGGATGTTTAGCTATCATACCGAGTCTGAACGAGGCTAGTGCTATGGTGTGAGTGTTTGTGTCCCCCAAATTCATTACCCCTGAGGTGATGGTATTAGGAGGTGGGGGCCTTTGGGAGGTGGTTAGGTCATTGGGTGTGCCCCTAAGAATGAGCTTATTGTCTGCCCTTAGAGAAGGCTCCAGAGATGCCTCGCTCCTTCCACTGTGTAAGGACATGGCGACATGTTGGCCGTCTGCAGCACAGAAGACGGTCTCACCAGAACCCCACTGTGCCAGCACCTGATCGCAGCCTTCCAGCCTCCAGAACGGTGAGAAACAAATGTCTGTTGTTGATCAGCCACCCAGTCTATGGTGTTTTGTTATAGCGGCCAGAATGGACTAAGATAGCGAGGTCACAAGATTTTAACCAAAACTCAGTCCTCTGCCACAATCTGTAACTCCCATGTGTCGATCAGGGCAAGCCATGCGGGACCAGTATTTCTCAACCTTCGCTCATTCTGACAAACTTCCTTGACCATAAACTTGAGGGGAGACATGTAATGGTCCAAGGGGAGAGATTGTGAGCCAGGGGAAGTGAAGGACACAGGGTGATCTGGCCATGGGCCACTTGTTTGCGTGTAAATGTGGATGAAGACAGAGCTAGTGAGGATTTATCTGTTTATCTTTGGATTTAGAGACTGTTCCATCTGATACCCTATTGTTAGACATTGACTTCAGTGCAGAACGTCCCTGTAGTTGGCATTCCTGAGGGAGAAAGGCCCAAGTGAATGAACAACAGGAAGTCACAATATATGGAAAAAATTGGAAACTTACTCAGTTTTCAAGAAACTCAACATTTCAACAAATTGATTACTTGGACCTAGTTGCTCTGTTTAAAATGATTCCACCAAATCTTGAGGTCTGGCCCCCACACATCCCACTGAGGTGCCTGTGTGTCAGCTTGTGGCTGGGAGCTGAGTCAGTGCCTGGCTGTGTGCCTGGCGGGTCCACTTCAGTGTGTGGAGAGGTGATGAGGAGGGGGACGATGAGCATGGGTCCAGCCATTGGATTCCTGGGATTTCTTAAAGAGACAACAAATCCTTTCATCTGTACCTGTGAGGACTCCGACCGCCTTCCTTCAGACCTACCTTAGGTGGTCTCGGAAAGGAGGGCGCGATCTCGCTTCCACACCCAGAGCTCTGGATCAAAAGCCTGGATCTGGAAGGACAAACAGCCCCCTGAGAAGATGATGACTCTCCAGGTGCACCCCATCCCGTCCCTGGTCCAGCCTTCAATTCTTAGTCATCCCCAAATCCCCAAACCGATCCCCCAAGGTCCCCTGTCTCTCCAATGTGGTCCCCTCCCCCTAATCCCACAGCCCGCCTACCTCTTCGCACTCTTCTCGCGTGACCCTCGCCCTCCAGCCCATGGAACGGAAGAACTGGAATCGCAGTTTGTGGAACAAGGGGCGCTGGGAGCAGTTGTTCTCCCCATAGAGGAAGGACAAGATGGCCTGTTTAGGGGCGTGGTAATTCTCTTCCATGTCCAGGGCCAGGTAGCTGAGGAAGGACATGAGGTTGCCAGTCAGGAGCAGGGAGGAAGCACCTGCCTGTGCTCAGCTTCCCAGAAAGCACACAGGCTGGATCCTCCTCACACAGGACCTCAGGAGCCCTGTCCAGTGTCTCTGAGTGCCACCCAGGCATCAGGAAGCTGAGCGGGACCTGAAGGGCACCTCTCAGACCTTGATGATGAAGAGAAAATTCAGCGGGGAAGCCGGGCCCCTTCCTTTCAACCTGTTGTGTGTGCACACACCTGTGTCCCTATAGTGTCATTGCTCATACAGCTGCTGAGGGCAGGGACCAACTGGTTCTTTTCCGTCTTCATTGCTTTCCTGCCAAATGACTAACAGGCCCATTAACTCAACAGCACTTACTAAAAAATATACATTTTTATTGATTTTAGAGAGGAAGGAAGAGGGAGAGAGAGAGAGAAACATCAATGATGAGAGAGAATCATTGATTGGCTGACTCCTGCATGCCCCCCACAGGGGATCCAGCCTACAACCAGGCATATGCCATTGACCAGAATCAAACCTGGGACCCTTATGGTCCGCAGGCTGACTCTCTATCCACTGAGCTAAACCGGCTAGGGCTCAACAGCACTTTTTAAATTCTCTTCCCATCCTCACATTCCCTGGCCATGAATGGGCTGTATAAGGTTGCACAGAATGAATGAATGAATGAATGAATGAATGAATTAATGCTTTTTCTCATAGTGAAGTGGAAAACTGATTACCTTACAGACTCAATATAACTTGAACATTTGCAAACTGAAAAAACCCCTGTGTGGAGTGTTTTAAGAAGCCATTGATATTTTGACAAGAGCTTTCCTCAACAGGTATCTAGTTGAATGGGATTGGGGAAGGAGAAAGGGGGAGAAGAGAAGTCATTGTGATCCAAGATATCACATTATAATACACTTTGAATAACCAACTACTGGCATGTAGAAATTAGGGGGTCAGAGAAGTTACCTGAATATTTTTTGTTTGAATCAGTATAAGAATACATCTTTTTTTTCGGATACATATGTGTAAATAATACGGAGACAGAAAGCAATAGTAAGAAAACAGGAAAAGGTGTTTAGAAGAGCAGTGAAACAAAGAATGGGATATCAGGGTGGTATTGATGGAGACCCTGAGACAGCTGAATTCAAGCTGAAAACTTTGGCCTTGATTTAGAAGGAAATTAGCAAATGAAATTCTTTTTTTTTTTTAATTTTTTTATTTTTATTGATTTTTTATAGAGAGGAAGGGAGAGA